AAACTACATCACATATGCACAAGCTTTACATATTTTTCCAACTCAACTAAACAAATAATATAAGAATAAAGCCAAGTTAATTAACTCTAAAATGACTAACTATATATCTTAAGCATCAATACAAATAAAGAATTTGAGGAAGTTCAAATTCAATACCAAATCTGCAATTACAGCCGGGTTTCTAGGATCATCTTCAGGTATTCCTTGTTCTACTTTTCCAACAAGATCTGCCCCAACATCAGCTGCTTTTGTATATATTCCACCACCCAACTGGGCAAACAGGGCAACAAATGAAGCTCCAAAACCATATCCCACAAGAAGAAGAGGCACTGAAAGAAATAAACAATATCAATCAAGGAGTCACCAGTACTATTGATTCTAAAACCCAAGAAATGCTAGTTTAAGGTGAACACAGAATCAACAACTACAGTCCAAATATAGACATGTCTGCATACAGTCCACAATCCACATGCATACATGCGTACATGCATATACAGATCACTTGGACACTGCAAGCCAGCATAGCACCTGAATTGTCTAAGTGAAAACAATTGTTCACCATGAAAGACAAAGTTAACAGATATATATCGTCATAAAAAACAAACACAGAAATTTGCAGATAGCAAAGACTAGATGTTAGCAACAATATGTCAAGAATAAAGAATACCATGTTACCAACACCCACTAAACACAACACCATGTCAAGAATAAAGAACAGTGTTACCAACACCCAAAAAAATCATACATAAGATATTACGCGTATAGGAATAGGTTTCAATGCAAACATGAGAGACATACTCCAAAATAAGATGTTTGGTATAATTTAACCAAGAACCTTGAATCACAAGGTTTTCAGTCATTCTAACATCAATCCTAAAATTAACATGAAGAGTTATTCAAATCATTAACTTTGGCAAGAATATAGTAAGAATTATTCTAAGGAATGCTGTCCCACCTTATCCATAGGTTTGTATTTTGTTAGTAATTCAGAGAATGTTTATCTGTGATATTAATTCATTAATAAGAAATATTGCAGGCAGTCAAAGAAGGATTAGAAAGAAGTGGTACCAAATGTCAGTTACAGATATAACTAAATGACTAAATTACACTAAAGATCACACGTGATGAATTTGTAAGGTAATGACCAATCTTAGATAGCCAAGAGAACCAACTTCTAGCTACTTTCATTAATATGGGAAAAACAAGAAATCATGCTTATACATCAACCAACATTTCGCCAAGAGAAGATGAACATTCAAGAAGTATCAGTCAGCATGTTCTCAATATACATATGAAGGAAAAGGAAAGAACCATGTAATAAGAATATCCATCGGCACAAAGTACATTAATACAAATTAAGAGAATAAGGAAATTAATTACATACAATCTGTGACCTTCATTGAACCAGGTGAACCCACTTCCAGCCAAACATAAAATGCTGCATAAAGGATGGCTATACCAAACACAGCCATACCAACCACCACCAAGGCAGAAAAACCACCAGCACGGACAGCTATCTGCATGATATGATTGCACTTAGTATTCGAATCTGCAAGCATTCAGAAATCTATGCTAAGGATGTTGCCCTGGATACAACCTGCAATGCTTCTCTTGCTGACCGTCTTGCAGCACTAGAGACTCGGACATTTGCGCGAACTGATACCCACATTCCAACATACCCAGCAACACCTGAACAAAGAGCCCCTAGAAGAAATGCAGCAACAGTGATACATGCAGATGTTGCCCTGCACATAATCATATTTATCACAAGGGTAAAGAAAAAGAAGTCGAATTCTATTTTACATAATGTTCATATATATCACAACCTTCCTAGGCCTGAGGATTCTTGTTGGGGAGTTGTATTTCGAAACAAATATATGCTAAGGATCACTAGCGCTAGCAACATTGCCATCTTGGAGATAGTACCATACTGTGTCCTGAAGAATCCTTCTGCTCCATCACGTATAGCCTCCGAAATCTAGAAACAAAAAGGATAAGCTCGATACAAGCCTGTGGGGAGATTGCTAAAAAATAATAAGTTCTTAGTCACATTTTAAGGGTTGACAAGAAGATGATAAACAATAAGGGGAACCTACCTCTCTTTTATCTAGATAAGTAATAATACAAAGCAGTAAAAACTAAGAAAGCATGGTGTTCTTATCCTTAAGAATTTCTTCTTGCTATAAATGGATACAATGAAGAAAGTAGACATTTTTCTAGTTCTATGTATACTAATTGTTATGTTAATAACTTATGGATCAAGTCATCCAACAATTCACAGGAAAACCTAATTCGATTGGTAAAGCTCTAACCTTGTCTCGGTTCCTAGCATGTGAAGACCCTATGATTAATAATATATGAAATTCGTTGGAGGGAGCTCCTAACCTTAGACTCATTAGAAAGAGAGTTTCAAACCTGTATAGATTGAAATAATTTCTATCTTGTATTATCACTAAGAAATATCCCCTTATATAGAGGTCATAGTGGGTTTTATTGTAGTAAACTAAGAAACTAAAATTAACTTGTAGAATTTATAATTAAGGAAACTAAAATTAAGCACTTTTAATTGCAACAAGATACTTGCTAAATAAATTATTCTAATTAGGAATATTACTAAAATAAACACATTTGCCTTCTTTCCATTTTTTACACTTTTGATTTCTTGTCTTGTCCACAAAAGCAACTGTAACACTATTCAAATGTAAAAACAATTTCAAATTTTCAATTGATGTCGAACAAAAATGTCCTCCATCGTCAATATTTCTGATCAAACCTTATATCAAACTCTAAGACTCATCAGACATGATTGTTGTAAATTAAAGCAAACCATTGTAACAAATTTGATAGGCACTGAGAATAAAACATTCTAATTAACCAATAACAAAATAAACACTCGCAATGTATAAAAGACATTTTCAATTTGGAGAAACGTTATATTTAAAAATTCTAGAGAAGCTTTTAATAAAAAATTTCCAGAAGCATAAAGAAAGCTTGAGATTATGACTTTACGAAGTTATTTTTACATAGAGAAATTTACCTGAACCATCTCCGGAGGCCCTTCATCCTTGGAAAGGACCCACTTTGTGAGATAAATTGACAAAAGGAAGCTGACAATGCAAACTGAGAAGACAAAAACAATGATTGGAGAAGTACTTGCTCCAATGTAAAAGACATATACGAAGCCTAAAAGGAGAAGTATGACAAGAACTCGAACATTTATTCCCCTGAGAATTCGAAAAATCTGCACAAATGAATTAGTCAACTAAAGAACACAAAAGAAAATGAGTGGCACAGATTGCAAGAGGAGAGAGATTAAAATATGCTTAGTTACTGTTAGGCAACAGCATAGAAATGAAAAGGTAAAGGATTCCACATCACTGCTTATTTTTTGACTAAAATATTCAACTGCGATTTTTTATTAGCTTGTTTGCTTAACTCAGCCAATACTAGTCATACTGCCATCCACACCAATTCAGCAGTCTCTGTGAAGCGAATTCTAAACTTCTTTTCCTTTTTTTATGCTACACCCTAAAAACTCTAAGCAAGGATATTTTTCTCTGTTATATTTAATAACGCTACGACTGTAATAAACACCAATACACCATAACACCAAAAACAGCAACCGAGTGAATATTAACCACATATATGCACAAGATAATAGTCAAGGATCTTAATTGCAGTTAAGAAGGTAGAATATGGCAAAAAAGAATCAGGATTTATTTTGTAGGCATCATAACAAGTATATGAAATACCAATGGTGCTAGAAAAGAAATGTTGGAATGAGCATTCTCACCATGGAAGCTTTCAAGCAATTGCTTAATTGTAGAGTTTTAAATCAGATAACTCTGCTCACTGACAGTATATGGCTAAAATACACTTAATCTATGGCAATATTCAACTATCCCAATGCCACTACAAACTAACAATGAAAAAAATGATCTGTCCAATAAGAAATGACAAAATCAAAGATAAAATAATTCCTCCTCTCAAAATATAGTTTAACCAGGTATTTGAAACAAAAAATGCGGGATAAAAAAAATTACTAAAATATCAAAATGAAAAATGAGAAGGAAACAAGACATCATGGCCAAAAATTCCAATGCACACTCATCCACAACTAACATACCACACAGGGAACTGAGACAAACATAAGATCCTTACCAAGGGGGTATAAGGTTTACTACGCATGTTCGGAAATGTCCTTGTCCTATCTTGGTAAGGCCCCAAATTACCATTCTCAACGTCATCTCCCATCATCATGGCACTGGCAGAGTTTTCCCTCCGGACAACTGAAAAAGTGTACTCCTCAGAATGGGGCAAATCACCCCCTGAACTTGGTCGCTGAATTTTGACTGCTTTAGTTTGTACAGTGAAACTATAATTTCCCCTGAGAGATACAAGATAATCAACTTCTTTATTAACAAATGTTGTGATTTGGTTCAATAGCTTCTATTCTTGCCTTACTTGTCTTACCTCTAAAATTCTAGATCCAATAAAATATTCCAGTTCAAGGATTTTTTGACAAGTTAATTTCCTGCATAGAAAGAATAGAACATTTATTGGTTAAAACATACGAAAACAGACAAAAATTACAAACATTTAAGGTTTGAGTACATTAAATCCGAGCTTCCACTTTGGTGATGTAAAAACGGTATCTCATCAGTGAATAATACAATTTTGGGCATATAATTGGACAAGGGTTCTTAATTCATACCATTGCCAACTATAAAAATCAAATATCTTAGGCCCCCAGGCCTAGAAATGTGATCATGGAAGTACTCTACATTGATCGGAAGAAAATGCAATTATGTAAAAGCCCCTACTTACGACTGTCTCTGAGCGATAAAAAATGCAAACCCAGAAAGTGGTGAGAAAGTAATTGCATAGACAAAGCCCCTACTTACAACTGTCTCTGGGAGATAAAAATACAAACCCAGAAAGAGGTGGGAAAGTAACTGCCTAAGGTATGTTGGACTCCTCCTCCTATTGATTTTTATAAGATGAATGTGGATGGAGCTGTTAGTAGAATTGGGATGATTGCTGGAATTGGGGGTATTCTGCGTGATTGGAATCGATCTGAGCTTATTTCCTTTTCACAAAAGGCTGGTCCTAATCCTATCATTCTAGCAGAATTGAAAGCTATCAAAAGAGGCATTGAAATCTTTGTCGCCTCAGATTGGGTGTCGAAGGGAAGACTCATTCTGGAAAGTGACAGTAAGCAAGCAGTGGATTGGATTCATGATCAAGTTCCTACTTTTCTTTTTAATTTTGTTCAGGACTTAGTGACTACTGTTTCTAGGCATGATATTATTGTGAGGTGGATTCCTAGGAGCTGTAATTGCGAGGCTGATAAATTTGCTAAGGAGGGGATTGGCTGATGGTTAGCTGTGTTTCAGTGGGTTTGGGTGTTTAGCAGTAAGGTTTAAATGGTGTCTGTTTAAGTTTTATGTAACTCTCAGGAGTTCTTTTTAGGCTTATGTACTTCGTTTGAATTCAATATATTGAGACACTCTTTTCCTCCTTCCGCTAGTTGGTTCTTACTATAGGGTAAAGAACCACTAAGAGGGAGGTTTTTAATGAGGTCTCCAATTCCTATCAAAAATAAATAAATCTCTCACCATGTTTACTAAAAATGAACATTTAAACTATATATATTTAAAAATCTCATATTTTTGTGTCTGGAAGTTGTGTAAAATACCATCCAAGTTTAGTTAGGTGGAATGATGGAATGGAAAAGAGGAGTCGTTAATGCAATGTTGAGGCTTAGGCTATTAAGGTGATAATAAAACCCAAGCACTTAGCCATTAGATTGGAAAATTTTCCCTCATTTAACCTTAGACAATCCCCTAAATATATAACAATTAACCATCTCACAAAGGCTCAACCTAAATATAGAACATCTTACGAGATTAGATCCACAAAATATTATTTTGATCTCTAATTAACCGTCGCTTCCCCTGATAGCATTAACAAGAGGTATTCGATTAATTTTTGCAAAAGGCCATTAGAAGATAATAAATTAGCCACTAATGAATTAGATTTTTTTCCAACTCACCCATTTGCAAGAATCAAGCAATATTTTGTTCCATTTTGGTCTACCATAAGACAAACACAACAAAACTAATTCCACCCAAATTTCATTAATTTTAGTTCAGCATTCATAAATCATGTATTTTTCTCCTTTCTTCCCGATATCATGAATGGAAATAAAATAAAGCGAAAAAAAAAAAAAAAGTTAATCTGAGTAAACCGAGCAGTAAGTTTTCAATTTTCAAAGGTTACAAAGAGTTCTCATTCCCGACATCTCATGAAGATAATGAAGGGACCTCCCTATGAAACATAAGAACATAAGATCCAAATCCGAAACCCCAGAGTATTGCATGATTTGATCTCGAAAATAATCAATTAGATCTATAAGAAAATTAAAAGATTACACATACCGTGTTCAATGGCCGCGGCGAAACCATGTAAATGCCATTAACTGGAAGAAAAAAAGTTAACGCTCCCCCTCGCTATCTCTGCGAAAACCGAAATTTTGCAGAATTTTTAATGTTAAACTTTTCACCGGTCGAGAAAGAAGGATTTTATGCTTCCTTTCACCAATCTTTTCACTGTTTTTTTCCCCTTATTAAGTCGATTGACCCAAATTTGTTTTGGCCCTTCTTTTTTTCAAAAGTTGACGCTTAAGTTTTATGATAAACTACATATTTAGTCACCCATCTATTCTAATAGTTTCATTTTAATCATTCAACTATTTTTTCTCAAAATCATACCTAACATTTTTTATTCCGTTTTGATCATATGCCATTAAAAATTATGACAATATTAACGTATCATTCATTAAAAAATAAAAATTATGACATCGATAGCTTTGTTTATTTTTTAATGATAACTGATTAAAATATAATTAAAATGTAGTATTATGTATGATTTTTTAAAAAATATTTTTATAAAAGTGAGTGTTCAATTGAAACGGCCGTAGAGCCACATTGGATCTAGATAGCAATGGCCTGTTATCTTTCCATCGCAAGGAGAGGAAACTTTTAGTTGCTTTGTGAAACCATCCTCACGCAGTGCGTTCCAATTTATGGGCTAAGGGACCCGAGCCTTCGAACAAAACCCGTAACCCAACTCCTCGCTTGGAACAGACAGGCTAGAGAGCAGCCACCATGGACCCGACTAAGAGAATTGTACCAACCTTAATGTGTATGCTTTTAAAAATTATAATTAGGTGATTAAAATAAAATCGTAAAAATATGTGGATAATTATATACGTAATTTACTCTAAGTTTTATTATATCGTTATTTTTAGCTTTTTTTAGTGACCTCATTAAAAAATTTATGATCGATGGCACATGAGAGCTAAAGTGGAAATAATCCATTGTTTAATGGAGAATTAATATATAGCGTCCCTTGTTTCACTCGAAACAAATTTTAAAAAAATAATTTTCATAAAATGAATAGTATTTTAAAAAAATAATTTCTAAAAGTAATTTTATGGTATTTAGATGATAATGTGTAAATCATTTTCAACTGATTGAAATTTTTTCTTGAATTTATTTATGATAAATATTTTTTTATTAATCTATGATACTTATAAGTGATAATATATGTTATAAAGACTCAATCATTTGACAATCAATGCTTAAATATCTTCCAGTATTTTGTGCTCGAACTTGAGATCTATAAAAATAATAATTATTTCTTTAACAATTGAGATAACTTAGTTCGTGCATTTATAATAAACATTAAATACAATACATAATAGTATTTATTAAAAAAACTTAATATGTTACAAAATAAAAAAAATGAAACAATAAGAAGAATGAGAATAAAAGATATCAAAATAATGAGATAAATATTTTATTATTATCATCTGAATATGATTTATATAATTATTTCTCTAAACTCTATATTTATAGGTATAAGTAGCGGATATAATATGAACTCTAGTCCTAAGAGATGTTAAAGTCTTGATAATAAAACATATCAAATTCATATTAAATACATAATGTTCTAATAATAATAGACATCCACATAAATGTTATGTCAAACAAAAGACATCCACATAACTATTCATAACACTCCCTCTTATATGTCTATAAGATAATGTGTCTTATTAAAACATTATTTAGATAAATAATCGAATAAACTATAAGATTTATCACTTTCGTTTTTGTACATTTTTCTAGACTGCATTAGAAAAGATAAGATTTAGTCACTTTTGTTGCTTTATTGAGTCTTCCAGTTATTAAAAGTTACAAAATAGTCACATAATTATTCATATATTCCAAACTGATAATTTTCCGTTGAAAATTTAACGGCATTTTGAGTTGAATGTTAACCTACTTACTTGGATATGATCTTAGAATCTTAAATGACTATACAACTCAAATGATTATTGTAACATCTTCAATACCGGGTTAGTGACCAAATTGTAAAATTTTAGGAATTGGTGATTAAAGTGGGATAATTGAATAGTTCAATGATTTATTGGAAATATGATGAAGGTTATTTAGTAATTATTGAATGAAGGAAATGGTAAAATAGTCATTTGAGATAAGGAAGCCACGTGGAAGAGAAAAGAAGGCAAAATAAACTTCCAGAGTTCTCTTCTTCTTCTTCAGCCGTGAGTCACCATGGTAAATGTGAGTTTTGTGGTTAGTTGATTATTTGTTAAAATAAAAGTTGGTTTATGATTATTAGAGGATAACTAAGCTTAAGTTATCTTAAAATCAAAGTATGATGGAGTTAGGAGGGATTAAAGATTTGAGGTTTTTGGGTAAAATCTTGAAATAGAGTTCATAACTAGAGTTGGAAGTTAAATTTGACTTGTCAATGGTCTAATTAAGAAGTTAGAAGCCATAGAATTAGAATTAAAATATATTGCAAAGTTGGTTTAATTCTTGAGTTACATATGAGGAAAAGAATTTTGAAGCTAAAGATGGTTTATATGGATATAAATTGGTTTAAGCATGTGCATATGAGTTGAGAACATGAAAGGGGTTGAAAGATGAAGCATTTGAGTTGATTTGAGTAGCTATTCGGGCTTAAAAATGAATTCTGGGCTATGTGCATCGATGCACATTCGAGGTGCACCGATGCATCAAGGGTAAATTTCCAGAAATTGTTCAGAGTGTATCGATGCACAGGAAGTGCATCGATGCACCCATTAAAAATGGAAACATCGAATGCAATTAATGCATCGATGCATAAGGAGTGCATCGATGCACATGTTAAGGGATGCATCGATACACTGTAGAATGCATCGATGCACTTCAAGGGAAATAGAATTATACCTTTCTTTTGGTCTAAGAAATGATAGATTAGTGTAAATCAATTGGATACTAATATGTATCAATGTATGATTATATAGATATCGAGCATGAACAAGTCCCGGAGCGATTATCAAGTTATGATTCGATCGCAAGAGAGGAAATTATAAAAATGGATTGGAACTTAGTGAGGCCAAGGTGAGTGCGTATTATTTTATATATGATGTTTAATGGGAAATAAGACTTGTGACAAGTCTAATTTCTATAGTATTGTGCATGAACATGAACATGTGTTTGTTATGAGTGTCTGAGTTATATGTTATGGTATGTGTTGACATGTTATTGTATATGTATTTCATGGTTGATGTGAATATATGTTATGTTATGATGATATGATAAGAAATTATATGAATATAAAAGAGAAGTTATGTGATAAGATCTTTGAGATATATAGAAATGGAATATAAGATTATGCGAATACATGATATGGGATAAATTAGGTAATAATATGGGAATATGGTAAAAAGCGAGTTTAGAAGAAATGATGGGAATGAAGTACTTAAGTGTAAAGGTTATATAAACAATAAGAATGTGAGTTGGGTAAGTGAATAGTGGTATGAACATTTATGTGAAATAGTAAAATAGAATTATATCATTGAATGAGAATTGAAACAAGATAGATAATATTGACCTATATGATGATATGAGACTTGAACATAAGTGATAATAAGAACATATAAGATGAGTTAGATGGGAAAGATACATAGCTTAAATAAAATTATGATATATGGGTTGTATGATAGAAATCTATGTAATCATATTAGAAAGTTATAGGTACTATATGAATTGAATTAGGTAAATATATTAGATTAGTATATAAATGAAATAATAGAAGTGACATATGTTTATGAGTGTGACAGATGTGATATGATCTAGGTGAATATCATAGAATGAGGTATAAGCTATATGATATGATATAAGCTATTAATCATGACATATGAGATTATGAGAAGGAGAATATAAATGATGTGAATACAAGTATAGGAAAAATGATATATATATATATAGGAAGATGAATTATATGAATACACATTTAGATGATGAAATGATGGATTATATGAACATGTGAATATATATATATATATATATATATATATAGGATAAGACATAAAAATAAGATATAAGCAATGTGACAAGAAATATGAAATAGTATGAAAAGTGAATATGAGCTACGTGATATGTGAAAGTGATTTACGTGTTTATACGTATATGTGATTCAACTTATGTAACATAATCTACGTGCTATGTGAAAGTGAACTACGTGTTTATGTGAAAATGTGAAATGACATAAATGATGATGCCCATGTTATGTGTCATGAGAGCTAGGGTATAGTTGGCATGCCAAGAGTCGATGATCTACGCGGTCCTTCGGGACATATATGTATTCTTTGGAACATGTGTGAGGTCTTTTGAGACACATACTTGATCCTTGGCATATGTATATGATTCTTAAGGAATGATATGTGGTCCTTAGGGACAACCTTATATGGCACTTCGGTGTATTTCTACGCGGCACTATAGTGAAATTCTACGTGGTACTTCGGTGCATTTATACGAGCTGTGGTGACATCATTAGTGCACAACCTCTATAGACTCATATATATATATAGTTCTCACATGTGTACATGGGCTAATAAGAAAAACAACAAATATATTACATGTGATTTGTATGCTTTTGTGATATGAATGGTATTATATGATTTATATGATGATATGTGGATTGTATGATTAAATGAGGCAAATGTTGGTTAAAATGCTAGGTATAAGAGGATATGTATAAAAGTGATATAAACGATAATAATATTGATAATGAAATAAGGCTAATGATGGAAATGATGAGTGATGAATATATGTGTGTATATGTTTTTATATGTAATGATATATATTGCATATGTGTTATAGGGATTTGTTACATGAATAAGGGTATGAGTGATAGTAGTAATTGTTCATACATGATTACAAGCTATAGTTATATTTTATGTTTATTGCCTCACTAAGTCATCGACTTAGTGTGTGATTATTTCACACGTAGGTTACCGAAGTGAGAAGAGTAAAGAGCAATGTGGAGCAAGACAGGTCAGTTCTCCTTACCAAAGGTCAGATCAGAAGAAATGTGAATAATATGTATTTTAATACATAAAGTTCTAGTTGGCATGTATTCAAAATAATATATTGTATAAGCTCTGAATAGTTCGATAAAGGTTTTGAGTAAGTTATATGTAATAATAAATTTTAATTACTCACTATTTTATACAAGTAAAGGGTTTTTGAAAAGTCAATGTGACACTTCGGATTCGGATACGGGTTGGGGGTGTTACAATTATAAAATTAGATTTTATCATATCCTACCATTAATCTTATCCAACAATCCTAAAATAATGTAAATTTGAAAAAAATTACATTTTTTTAGGATTGTTTGATGAATGAAAATCAAAAGTTGAGATTAACCATAGGAAATGAGAATATATTCACTAAAAAACATGGAGTTAATCTCATCATTTGATTTTCTTTCATCCAATAATCGTAAAATGGTGTAAAGCTAAAAGTTGTATATTCTTAACCATATATTTAATATATATATATATATTCTTAAAATGATGTAAGTGGATCTTAACCATATATTTAATATATATATATATATATATATATATACTGTTTTATATTATTTACAAGTTGTATATTCTTTTAGTTTTAGTTTTAATTTTACTTACTGTACTTTCAATTTTTTTAATTTTTTCACTAAACTTTTGAATTACTTCGGTTTTGATCACTTTAAATTTTTATCTTATTATTTTCATATAATGTGATATTTATTATTATTATTTAATATAAAATAATTAAAAATATAAAATAAAAATAGAAGGTGGTCGGATGACACACCTGTCCACCGTCGGTCACCGTCGGCCACCGTCGATCGTTGTAGATGATGGTCATTCAATTTCAAATTTCATGGATCGATTCATCTCGACCCTCTGAGTTCGAATATGGTGGTTGTTTCACTGTAAAATATCCCAAAACCCATGAATCTAGACTAAAACATTTCAACTTCCTCACTTTCAATCTCCAAATCGTGGACTTTGGAGCAGATTCTGACAAAATGATGGTCGGATTCGGACTTACGGTGTCGAGGCGAAACGACCCATGAAATTTAGGGCTGAACGGCCACAATCTACGACGGTCGATAGTGGTATCCGGTCTCACGTCATACGAAAATAATAATAAAATAATTCATAATTTGCAAAACAAGAACCATTCGAAAATTCAATAAATAACTTATAAACATTAAAAATATAATAAATAAAATAGGAGAAATTATAGTTAAGCGCGGAACAGTATAATTTGATTTTTTTCTTCTTTCGTTCCTATCTGCGTACTTTCGTAAATCTTCTCGAAATCAAATTTGTAAACCATTATGAAGCATAGGCTAAATCAATGAGATAAATTTCAAACTTTTAGAGCATCGGAACAGTTACACACATGCAACCAGATAAGTAACTTATATCATTTTATACTGTATTTCTTTATTTTTTTCGTATAACCATATTTCAAATTCTCTTTAATGTGTCCATTCTTTAATTTCGTTTTTCTGGGTTCCTTCTAATATTTAATTTTCTCTTTTTCCTTCAATGTTTCAGTGATTTAGATCTAAAAGTAACGAAGATGAAGTTTTGGATCTTTATATGTTTAAGACCAATTTATTTTTAAGATTTCCCCCTCAAATTGATATGGGTATTACGCAATATTTTTAAAACCGGATCGGACGTTAAACCCAGTGAAGGTACTGGTTCACTGGTTCATTGGTTCAACCGGGTTCAACCGCGGTTGAACCGGTTTATATAAAATAATATTTTTTAAAAACTTTTACATAATATTCAAAGTAATATTAATATATATATATATATAACACTCTTTTTAAATTCATAATATTAAAAGGTATAAAAATATCACAAATCATAACATATATAAGTTAAATATCATAATATCAAGTGAAACAAAATGATTCAAATCAACTACAACATAATATTTAAGGTCAATACCTAATAAAATTCATCAACAACTAAATAAAAAAAGTACATAATTGATACAAGTATCAATCATCATAATATTCATTGAAATTGATTCCCTCAAATTCCAAAATATTGGGAAAAGCTTGTTCATTAGTTGAATTACCACCGCCATCACCACTTTAAACTTGAAAGTCCACAAAATCAAGATCTTCATCACCTAGCAATATGATAAATAAATACAAATTTAAATTTAAATTCCCAAATAATACTTAACAATTAAAAGTAAAAGTGTAAAATATATTAAATAATAAATATAATTATATAACTAAAATAAACAAGCAAAGATTAACCTTCATTGTTTTTTGATGATTGACCAACTGGAATTGCATTATCATGATAAAGAAAATTATCAATCTCATCAATATCAAGCTCAGGAGGTGTTTCTTCTTCAGTTACCCACAAATCAACATGATCAATAGATTCATAATCAATAGGATCATAACATGGCTTCTTGAGCAACCTAAAATTAAACATCACAAATATCAAGAACGCAAGGTTATCGAGCAACCTAAGACTAATTGATTATGCTTAAAAGGATAAGGAAATGAAATAATATTTTAACATTATACATATTCTTTAAACGCAAGTTATAAGTAACATAAACTAGATCATTTAGTCTTTGATGTTCTAGTCTATTTCTTCTCTTTGTATGGATGCGTTCAAAAACACTCCAATTTCTCTCACATCCAGAAGATGAAGAAGTTTGGCTAAGAAGGCGGATTGCCAACTTTTGCAAAATTGGAGCACTACCCTCAAACAACGCGCACCATTGATCTACAAGAAATAAATTTAATGATAAAAAAATAGAAGTATAGAACACAAGTTATACATAACTATTTAAGCATAAAAATATAAATTATAAACTAGAAAATATAAAGTAATATTTACTGGGTCGAATTGTCTTTGTTACGGTAAGAGCACTTTCTCGACCAAAGCTTCCTTGTCGTTCCCGGTACATATTCGTCTCACTATTGCCTTTAGTTAAGTCATTACAAAAAGCTCTTTTTTCAAGTAAAGAAATGGCTGCACTCATGACTCTGTTCTTGCTACAAAATTTCTCATCATAGAAGAATGCAGGATTTAAAAAGTAAGCCGCTGCATGAAGATTGAGTTTTAAATGTTTATCCCATCGAGCCTTAATAATATCTGTGTAAGGCTTATACAAAGCTCTTCTATTTCTAAACATCTCCTTTATAGCATTTTTTGCCCTTTGCATGCCTTCATAAACATAACCAAGAGAAGGCTTTTCATCCCCATCTACAATTCTTAGTAATCGACTGATAGGAGCCACAAGTTTCGCTATCGACAAACAATCATTCCAAAAATTTTGATCCAAAACAATATCACTAACAATTTTTCCTGCTGTAGTCTTTGATAATTTATGGCTAGTGAAATGCTTGTCTACAACTAAAGCTTGCAAATCATGTTTGTGATCAAAAATATTTTTCAATGTAATAAAAATAGTAGCAAAACGAGTCACTCCTGGACGTTCAATTTCTTTCCAACCTTCTCTTTTTCTCATCCAATATAAGAATACCATGTGATTATAGACAAATATTGTAATATTGGAAGCCTTTGAGGCAAGGTCTGCAACATGAGGCATACTAGAAAAGTCCTTTAAAAGGAGATTCAAACAATGAGCGGCATAAGGAGACCAAAAAATGGTATCATATTTCTCTTGTATCAATTTACCAGCAGCTACATAATTAGCTGCATTATCAGTCACTATATGGACAACATGTTCAGCTCCAACCCATTCAACCACTTCAGAAAACAAGCCGCATAATGTCTTAGCATCTTTTATGACATCTGATGCATCAACAGATTTCACAAATACTACACCTATAGTATAATAAATGAAAACGTTTATCAAACATATATTAAGTATTCTTCATATGACAGTTAACACCAAACTAAAAAAATAGTGAACTAATAAGTAATAACTATACTAAAGACTATTAAAATTTAACATAAATGATACATGTAGGGCAATAAACTAGAAAGTTGATCAAAGTTCTTTGTCGTTGATCAGTTCATCCATCTGCCATAATTGTACATCCACTCTTAGCCCAATTTGCTCGATAACCTTCTACAAGTAAGCAACACTCTCTCTTGCAATCTCCCAACAAGTTAACCCTTAATTCATGATAAGATGGGCCTTTAAAACCGGGACCAATAGCATTGAGTGCATCTAAAGCAGGTTGAAAGTATGGTGATAGTGTTGCATGAAATGGAATGCATGCATCATAAAACCAATGAGCAATTGCCATCTTAGCTTTGTGAATTGATTGTGTGATTGATAATACACTTTTCAAACTTGGTTGTGATCCTGGAGTAGTCCTTGGAGCAAAATAATTACTAATTTCAACATTAGCTTTTCTTTTCAATGTGGCTTGCATCTTACTCTTCTTATCCATATTTGAGCTAGGATGAACTTCTTGTGCTTCCTCTTCAATATTTTGACCACCATATGCTTCATTTAGGTTACCATCACCACTCTTACTTTTTCCTTTGATTATATCCAATAACTTAAGCATTTGGTTACGAACATCATGAGGAACTTTTTTGCAAGAACTTATATTACCTGGAACCCCCGCAAGATGTTGCTTCATTCTATTTATGCCCCCTCATTTACAAGGTTTACTACAATAAAGGCAAGTGTATACACAACTTTTTCCCTCTTTTTTAAATGAAATGTGATCCCACGCAGGATCACTTTTCCCACGAGTTGTACTTAAGGATTCTGTGGATTGTTTCTCAGATGGAATATCATTACTATTTTGAGAAGCATTATCTTGTACAACATTCACACTTGGTAATTCCTACATGTAATAAACATAAATTGATTAGTGATTAATAATAAATAATTGAATAGTTGAGAAATTCATATGCAATTATAAATATAACGAGCAAGAAAATTTGTCATAGAGGAACAATTTCACTAGCACCAATTTCAATACCCACTGTTAGAGTCATGGAGAAGCACTATAAAAAGCACCAGACCACTGACGCTCAAGAAGGAACAAAAACTTAAACAGGGATGCATAAATCAAATTTCACAGGTTCTACGAGATGGAGTTTTGGATATTTCTTCAGTTGAACACTTAAGAAAGCATGATCTAAAAGTGTAACTCAGTGATCAACTAACAAATAGTATATAAGTTGAACCAAAAACCATGACAATTGTGGAAATAGTCATTTCTGGATGTAATCTGATTAAATTCAATGCCTTTGTTCTACTAAGAAAGTATCCAACTCACAAAGTTTTTTCATACCATTAGTTTATATAATATAAGAATTAAATTTAAGTCACACAAACATAATTCCAATCAGAACTTCAAAACTCTAAGCATGTTCCATTAGTCATTTAAATTTTAAACTTAAGGTTAAATATATCAACTCACAGAACTTAGAAATGCTGACCAGGAAGGCAAACTCAAAGCCGCATGACAAAACAACAGTATTAAACAATCAAATGGCTTTGATCTATAAAAAATAAGAAAAACCAAGAGAAACAATCAACACGTGCCAAAATTCAAAATGCTTCCCTCCCCAGGTGACTCAATCCAGTTTACCATCAAATCATAGAAGAAATGACTAAAAAAACTTACAGACTTGTTTCAGCGATGAACCAAATCTACTGAATCAAGCAAACCCATAAAATTGATAAACTACAAACTCAAAGATTTAAATTCAATTAAAAGATGAATTAGAAATATAAAGAAATGGGTAGCTTAAACATTACCATCTTACGAGAATAAGGAACTGGAGCACAATAAAACGCCGGTGAAGGAGTGGTGTTGAAGGGAACCAAAGTGGAAAAGCCAAAAAGAGATAGGGTTCACTGCTTAAACATTTCGTGAAAGAAAAAGAAAAACTGAAAATCGCTTAACCCTGCAAAATCAGAAAATAAATATGGGTTGAAAAAAAATAAAACGACGACGTTTTGTTTAATTAAAAAAAACACAAAGAACCGCTTGAACCGCCGGTTCACACCAGTTTTGCCGGTTATCAGCCGGTTCTACCGGTTCTGTGCATAACTGGTTTTGCATGCTGACAGGACCGGACAGGTAACCGATTCTCAGTTCAACCAGTCGAACCGGCCGGTCCGGTCCGGTTTTAATAATATTGGTATTACGTGAAATTAAATATTAATTTAATTAAATTTAAGTAATTTTATTCTAATTTAAAGGCGGCAAATTAAAAAAATTAAGAGTTAAGTATACATATGGTCCCCTAATTATAGGACATTGTTTATTGAGTCAATCGAATATTAAAAGTTATAAAATAGTTTCTTGATTATAGGATGTTGCTTTATTGAGTCCCTCGACTATTAAAAGTTACAAAATGGTCACCCGACTATTCATTATGTTCCAAACTCGTCCTTTTCTGTTAAAAAATTAACGACAGCCTGAGCTGGATGTTAACATATTGTCTGAGATATGATAGTCGTTTGAGATTTTAGGAGCATATTTTATTATATCTCAAACAGTAAATTAACATACAATCCGGAATGCCATCAATTTTTTTAAAGGAAAATAATGAATTTGAAACATAATGAAGAATTGAATGATCATTTTGTAATTTTTAATAGTCAGTGACTCAACAAAATAGCGTCCTTTAGTTGAAAGATCATTTTTTAACTTTTGATAGTCGAGAGACAACAAAACAATATCTTATAATTGAGGACCGTTTTATACTTACCCAAAAATAAAAGCTTTATGCAACGTTTGTGTAAAATCTGAGTTTTTTTTAAACTCAAATAACAAAGAATCTGCAAGCGTCCTCTGAGTTTTTTTTTTTGGCTTGTTGTAGCTCATGGATATTCTTTACTCGTGTCATCATCATTACATGTTAGTATTATTTTTGTATTAACAAATATTCAACTTAAATTATAATAAAAGTATTTTAAAAAATATTACGATAACCCATTGTTAATATTGTGATATATGTAATATAATTTTTTAACTTTTTAGGCAATTAATATATATTGTTAATAAATTTTAGTTTGAATATATAAACCATACCAATAATTTATAATTAATATAAATGAGGGGTAAATTTATAATTTGGCACCCAAACGGGCTTTTGAGAATCCGAAAGCTATAAATTTTAACTTTTTGAAAAGCCAGTTTGAAAAGCAATGCTATAGAAGGTCTTAGCGTATTGTGACCTTTGAGATGGTCAATGTGTTGATAACTAGCAAATTTGTTCATGAGAAGGCATTTTAATCTTTCATTTTATGTTGCATAATACATTAACTTTTTTTATTTTTATGATTGGTCAATTTTCATTTATTATACCTGCCAGGAATATTTACCTTTCCCTTTAAGAGTTCTGTGACTGATCTTCTATTACTAGCTTTAAATATTGTTGTTTTTCACTGAAGAATACCTTGTAATAATGCTTCCACCTATTTATCTTGCTCTTGCGCACAGACAATTTATTATAATAGCAACTTTCGAAACATGTTGTGTCAACATTCTTCTAAAGTTTAACAAAAAGAACGTAGTTTACTACTTTTATCCCTTCTGATTATATTTATTTTTGGTTTTGTGCTGCATATTAAACCCTTATTGGCTTGGCAGGCTGTTGCTGTTGCTGCATGTGTTATGACTCTTGGCCTGTTCTTACACTTGCGCCATCTTCTTTGTGTTTGCATTGGGATTCAGTACGTGCCCATCATCTTCATGTTTAAGTTATTTTTGGGATTTTAAAAAAGTCCATTTTTTTAGGGGGGAGGGATGCTTATACTTCTGTCATGCAGACTATTCAACAATGGCTCAATATTCCTCCATCAGATATAGTTGTAAGTTATCTTGATTCCATCTCATGTTTCCTACCAACAATGAAGAAAAACTGGAAATGACCCTACCAACATTTATAGGTTGTTTTCTCCCAAATGGCTGGGTCAAATAGAAGTGGATTCACAATATCATCCTCAAATAGCAAGGGTGGTATTCATCTTGATGGTCTGTTCAACATAATCTCCTATGATTTGGTCGCAAAACTCGAAAATATATTAGTGGCGTCAGATTTCAAGGTAAGTACAATCTTTGTACCTTTCAAGTTTTATGCAATCTTCTCTCCTTTTGAGTTTTGTACTTTTCAATGTTTTGTTAATATTACCTTGAATTCATCATATGTGTACATTCTGACTCGAAGTGTTAATCCAAAAAAACTTACCTTCTCCAACTCCTCAAAACAGCACAACATCCAAGTCTCAAGTCGATGAATCCACTCAACCTAAATCTCAACAAAAATCAACAGAAACTTTGTCTATTCTAGGAGGGTATGACCTTAAAATCTAGAGAATAACACACAAATAAGAGTCTGTTAAGAAATTGAACCGGGGCCACCTTGAGAATAATACCGATGGAGATATGAAATTCTATCCTGCCACTGATTTAACCTGGGGAAATCTAATACGAGGATCTGCATTGGATATTGAATTCTACTACCTCGAAACTTGAAAGAAGCAGAAATGGCGATTCCTGACACCTGAAATATCCAACCCTCGATGTGTTAATATATTTTTGCAATTATGATTCTCCAGTTTTCGTGAAACACCTTATTGTTTTCTTTTCTTGTGTTGGATTCATATACTTTTGGTCCTTGCGCACTTCGAATGCAACCCACTTTCGTCTTCTGTAAGTTTGGAAAATCTTACAAGAACAGGTCAAAACTTTAGAAAAACTCAGGACGAATTTAAGTTCCCTTACAAGAAGAAACTGATGTATTGCTTCAATCATTGGATGGTGATGTGCAAATATTATAAATTTGCAGTCTGCCTGCAATGATCACTTATAATATCACTTTTTTTTTTGCCTAATAAGTTTTATGTTTCTTATCCTTTATTTCTCAATGAAAATTGGGATTTTTTTCCTCTCTTTTGGACAAATGTGATATTCATTTTTCTTTTTCTTTGCTGTGGCAGCTATCTATAAAAGCTGGAGGTGTCGGGTTGACTTTAACAGCCGCGAGTACTGTTATCTTTGCAGAGTTGTGATGGACTCCGGGTGACCTGATTCAAGCAGAAGATCGTGTCCATAGGATTGGCCAGGTAAATCACCAGAGAAATTATGTCTGATGAATATCATTTTGGACATTATGGAATTTAGGATCACAATATTTTTTGATAAAAGTGGAACTCTGATGAGAACTTCAAAATTTACAATTGCATGAGCCGAAAGTGTGAGTTGTGGGTATACTTAGGCTATTCGTTATTTGTTACTACTCTTGGTTTAGATTGGATTAAACTTATCTCTAATTTAAGTTTCAAATGTTTTGTATAGTTGTTAGGAGTCCTAGCAGTATAACTCTAGGCTGAAGTCTTTTATATAGACCAACTCTGTAAACTTTAATTTAAATGAAAAACACCGTAATAGTACCAGATAACTAGGGATGATGACGGATAGTGTTTATTTAGATATTTGCGGATGTACAATCTGCTTTTAGTTGATTCACATATTGCTAATTTGGATTCAAATATTCTAATTGCTAACTGTAGCAAATAGACATCAACTCTTGGATATCCGTTCTTCGAATCTGTTTTACTTTTGTAGGCAACGGATTCATATAATGACTCCACCTGTGTCGGTTTTATTTCTAT